CCGCCATACAAACTGCCTTTTCAAAACATGTTTCATTTTCCCTGAATTAATTAGTCATACTTAAACGCGTTTTTGGAAAGTACATGACATCGCATTATTTGATATTGCAGCTTTATTGTAAAGCACATTACACTATATTATACTGAAATTGTAACTTTATTATTACTTTTAATTATGCTTATTATTATTATCATTGTTGTTATCATCATTATAATTATCACTGTTGTTATCATCATCATTATCATTATTGCTTTTGTTATTTTCCCATCATTATTTTTATTCTCTCTATTAATTTTCTATAAAATTAGTGTTTGTGGATTTCCATAATTATTTATTACAACAAACAGTGATAATATAGAGACAAGTCACGTAACAAGAATGAGAGGCAACAGATGGACAAAGCGAACTGCTGAACGGCTACCAATCTTAGCAAGGAGAAAAGACAGCGCTGTGGGTGGGAAGATTTTCCTCACCCTTCGTACGGAAAGAGTCCCACAGTAGAGAGGAATGGAGGAGCTGCATCGCTGACCGGAAAGAAATGCGATGATGAAACAACAGCTGGTAAAGTACCAAAATACAACATCAAATTTCATTCCATTTCTCCGCCTAACATCGGAACACAAGCGGTCGCTGCCTTTCTCCTGCCTGACAATGATGTAGCGGAGTAATGGCGATAATATCGATGATGATAGAGTGATAATGATGATGACGAGGGTGACGATGATGATGATTATGCGGAAAAGGTGATGGTTGTAGTGATGGTGATGACGATGATGATGATAATGCAGATTCCATTCTATCTCCTAGTTAAAAATTGTAACGCAGTCTCAGAAGCGTTGAAAAAGGCTATCCAAGTCCATCTTCGGTTCTGCTTTCATTCGGAAACTACCATATTTTACCAAAAAATTGCTGATTGCGTCAGTGCAGAGCTAGACCCTCAATACGTCCGGGAAAGCAACTTGACTTCACCATATTCTCAAGTCATTTTTTTAAGGATGAAATGTGTTAGGTTGTGGATGGATAAGTGGATAGGCAGCATGCAATTGAGTTCCATTACGCTGATGACGAAAAATGAAACAGCAACGATGGATGGACGAAGAAGAGGAAGACGAGGAAGAGGAAGAGGAGGAGGACGGTGAGGGAATGAGTTCGAATTGTACTGCAAGTGAGGGACGAAGCTCGTCGTTGCTGCGCTCCAGGAACACGATGGTGCGCCATATTGCGGTGGCAGCAGGAGCAGGAGTACCGTAGGCGCGGAGTGCTGAATCAGCAAGCTAAAACATACAGAAATGTGCTGCTATTGTATGTGTATATGTGTGTATGCAGGATACAGGCACAACATTGCGGTTGCTCGCTTTTTCTCTCTCTACCAATAGGCGGCTGCTTCGTTCCTCGTTATTTTTTGAATAGCCAATGGTGCCGGGGCGGGGGATTGCTCCGGAACGGGCAGCAGCACCAGCAACAGTACGAGGGCGAACGATGGTGCTCAGAATGATAATATACATACAGTCCGGAACCAGGAGCCGACCCTCCAATCCACACCTCGCCCTTTTCCATCCATCCACCAATCTCCTCACATGTCTCTTTTCAGATGCACTTGTAAAAAAGCAGTACTTCGCAAGATCGAAAGTGTCAATTTCCTCCTCCCCCTCGCCCTCCCCCATGCATAAGAAGCCTAGAAATATCTCGAAGCTTCAGGTGCATTTTAAACACGCAACATCTAAAACACAGAGATGCTTACGAAATTCTTCGTTTTACAGTGCTTGCGGTAAAATGTTGTGCAAGAAAGACTGATGCGCCTGACGCAAGAACCATGCGAAATTCCTTGAAAAAGGCAAATTGGCTCGGCCGGGTTGAGAGGAAAGTTACAATGACTGAAGGGGGAAAGGGGTACGGGAAAGTAAAGGGATGGAGACGGGGAAAAAGCGGTGAGGGCCGGGGTTTACGTTTTGATACTGAAGTCGAAGCGGACAGGAGTAGCAGCATTAGTGATTGCAGACGGAGCTGAGAATTCGCTTGGACATAGGAACTGGAAACAACAGTGGGGTTTATGGGAGGTGGAAGGGAAAGGTGCCCCTATGCGTTTTCATGTTCAGCCTAAAATTTGATGCTGAGAGGAAGTTAGCAACTATGAACGCGTCTCCTAAAACCTTATTCGGGCAAAAAACTCTATAAAACGATTTTCGCAACTCGAACCCGAACGCAAACGAACTCCTACTGCGCGAGCAAGCCGAGCCGAATTTTCGTATTTCGCCTGAAAAACGACGTGGATTTTGCGCTGCCACAAGATTCTCCCTACAAATCGCTAGAAAAAGCTTGCAAAAAAAAAAAAAATAATAATTAGCACAGCACATTAGCATTACGAGCGAGTTTAATCAGCCGATTTTGCATGTATGCAGAAAATGAGAGAATCATTGCCTGTTGGGACTGGCCAGCACCGGACTCGTTACGGTTTTCGTTTGTTCGTTGTTCGCCGTGGAAACAGTAACCGACTGAATGAGCGGTGCCAGGAAACTCGGCGAATTCAGAAGTGTCGGAGTGGGCACAAATCCGTTCAACTGTTGCACATGGGCCAGTGCATCTGAAAAAAAAAACATACACCTAAAATAATGACAATAATTTTGCAGCTTTTTTACAGCTACTATGAATTATGGATAAGACAGAAGAAACAAAAAAAGTAAAAAATGGGTGCGGAAAACATGACCATCAGCGGGTTGACCAACAACTAATGAAGCTCGCCCATAACAATCATAAAAATTACTTTTTAAACTTTTTACTTTTTAAAGATAAATCGAAAGTATGAAAATAAATGTACTAGAAGGAAAAAGTGCCAACAGCAGAAAGAATTCTTGAAAAAATCTGCCACAGCCAGTACTGAGTAATTTAAAGAAAAAAAAATTCCTGATTTTCCTAATTGAAAACTGGTGTCAGTTCACATTTTTAGACAATCTAATAAACTCGATACTTGGACACTGTCTCCGTAATGATTCCAGACAAAATGAATACAGTTTTTTTTTTGATGTGAAACTGGTTTATAAAGTACACTGATTAGAAGCAGCTGGCATACTAGCGGATAGGGAGAGGAGCAAAAAGTGTAAAGGACTGAGGGCACAAAGCAGAAATGAGTTCCCCTTACATCCAGCCGCGTCGAGGTGAAAAAAAATGCTCTTTTTTGCGGCTGCTACTAGCAGAAAAGACACATTTTTTATGTTCAATTTTTAGCAAACAGGCAAGAATGAGGATTCACATGAGACAATGGCATCCTCTCGAGCTAGAGCGTACCTCCCGCTTTAAGGGCAAAATCAGGATTCTTCCCTTCCCCTCACCCTCAATCATCTTGAAGCACAAATGTAACATAAAAAAAGTTAGCCCTAGACGCATTTAGTATAAGCTATAGGCCGAAAGGATAAAAAGTACATGTCCAGGATGACTAGAAAATACCATCCCAAATTTACCTCTTGGCAGTTGAGCCACACATCACTGTGTAACCGGATTTGAATTTATTTAATTAAACAGTATCTAGTATGTCAGTGTGGAATGGACCATCACGCTGATGAATTTTTCCAGAACGGATTAGAAGATGTTTTCCATTTTTCGAAGATTTTCATAACACAAAAAAAAAATGGCCCTGCTATTTTTAGAACAAAAAGTAACCGACGACCATCCAAGAATTTGGTACTCAGACGAAAAGATGACCATAGAATCAATACCAAAATATGATACCCTCAGCACACATCACTTTGTAAAAGACGGAAGAACTAATCAGTGGGTGAACACATTACAGTCAGCTAGCAGAAGTAGCCGTTTTCGCGAGTTGGCTGACAAAAGTGAAGATGGTTTCATTGTTTCCTATTCTAGCACGCCAGTACCAATTTCCAATGAAACGAATCAACAAATCGTATAGGGCTTATCGCCCTCATGGTGGATTCGAATAAAAAAAAAA